TGGGACTCGATCCCGGGACTCCAGGATCATGACCTGAGCCGAAGGCAGTTGCTTAACCAACTGAGCCACCCAGGCGTCCTAAAACTAATTTTTAAAAGAACGTCCAAGGACTCACAGCGAAGCGAGTGAGGATGTAGGCACCTGCCCCAGTGCCCATGCCAATTACGCTCTTCAGCCTGGAAGCAGAAATAAAGATGCATGTCACAGAAGGAATGAACAATGGGAGCCCTAATGACCCTCTTAAAACCTCCCCCACTCCTGGTCCCTAAGGAACACCGCCTCCCCCAGCAGCCGTCCCGCTCGTCGCTGAGCGTGGCTGGCAAGCCAGACGGAGTGGGGACATGCTGCCTCGAGGACCCAAAATGCATCATGCTTCACGCCTGGACAGGAGACCGTGACCTTGGGGAGACTCGTCCCTTTTCCTTACTTCTCTCCCGACTGCAGCCCAGGCTCTGAGAGACTGCCTGACATTTATGGGAAGGCCTTTTACTGCACCGCTTCTTCCTGCTCAGAAGCTTTATTTTAGACTCTGAAACTTGGAATGAAAATAAATTGGGCAAGAACGCCAAGGTATGATCTTCACACAAAAGGCTCAAGTAAGAGGGACATGAGCACTGGAGAGAGAGGGCATGGAGGGAGAAATGGAGGGCTCAGGCCGCCCTCTTCCAGAATGTTCCATTGATAAGGAAGAGCAATGAAAGAAGAGGGGGCCGGGAAAGGATGGGAGGGGTGGCGGTCTTCAGGTGATGTGTTCGCTCGTGGAGAAAAGCCCAGCGGGCGAGAGGTGGACCAGAGAGTAGAGGCGGTGTGAAAAGAGTTCACAAAGGGTGATAGCTAATTTCTTTCCTGACTGTTCACCCTACATTTCAGTGGTCAGGCCAGATCAAGGCCAAAGGAGAGGCAGAGGTTAGAAGCCACCTTTCTCTGCAGGCTGGTGGGGCAGCAGGTCCCTCGCTCTTACCCAAACTGGTGGAGGACTCCAGGAAGCATTTCGGCCAGCTGGTCCATGGAGGGATACAGGTACCTTGGGGGAAGCCATGCAGAGGCCATTAGTGAGGGCCAGACCCCAGAGGAAATGAATCATTCAAAGAGGAACACGCTTGAAGGGCAGGGCCCACGCACAACCTGGCCCGTGGGCCCAGCCCCCCTGCCCAGCCCCCTGCAGCCCTCCTTCCCCGCACCGAGCCGTGCACACCAGCCTGCTCCCCTGCACAAGGCTGCGCCCTACCCCAATCCTCCCTGTTTGTAAACTGACCCTCGATGGATTGCTTCCTATGCTCCAGGTCCCACACCAATTATCGGAGGAGACTTAGAAGCTCATCTAATCCTTACAACAACTCTGTGAGGTTCCCATGATTTCCCCTGGTATACAGATTATAAACAGCAGTGAAGCGGGGAGAAGCCACTTGGCTTCATGGCCAGGCCCGCACTTGGAGCGGCATCTCACGTGGGCCCTGGGATTTCTCACTCACCTCCCAGAAGGCCTGCGGCAGCTCTCCCATACAACATTCCTGACCACAGGGAAGTCCCTCCTCTATCACCCCTGTCCCCAAGAGATGCTCTGGAAGGAGCTTGGACAGAGTACAGAGAAGCAGGCCACGCTGATGAGCTGGACACAGTGAGCTTTGGGAGATGGATAACCCGGGGGGATTTTACACCGGGATGCCTCAATTCACACATCTTCTGGGACCATGGCTCCTGGGTGACTCTGGAGTCTGCAGGCTGCCCTGAGCCTAAGCATTAAGGTGGAGGCTTCCCCTTCCCAGAGTGCAGGAAACAAACATCTCCTGTCACCAAGTCCTTAGCAGGGCCTGCCCGGGGCTTCTTGTTCCCACTGTGCCCACCCTTCCCGCAGGAGTACCAGATGACAACCCCTGGCACAAAAAGGAGCCACTCCCCAGGCTGGTCCCTTTCTCTCGGACAAGAACAACCCTGCCCCCGTGACTCACGGAGCATCTCTAGGCCCGCTCTCTTCCTGGCCTTCGCACATGCTGCCTCCTCTGCCTCCTCACACAGTGTGCGCTCACCTCCCTGGGATCTCCAGAAAGGCTAGGGAGCTCTGCCCCAGCAGGAGCCAACAACCCTAGGCAGAGTTCCTGCATGCCTTCTTTCCCAACTTCCCTGGAAGAACTCCAAGAATCATCCCTTTCACCAAGGCCTCGGGTGCCATCAGAGAGCCTGGTCCTTTTTATCAAAAGCAGGTGCACACGGCACGCCGCGTTAGGAGCGAGCTCCTCTGGACAGCCCATGATTCTCTGGACAGGTCCCTGCGGGAGCCCACAAAATGCCTCCCAAGACCAGCAGATGGGAAATGGTGTTGGGGGGAGCAGGGGCGACCTTGACTAGGAGGCATCCCACAAGGCTGGCCTCAGGGAGGAGGACTCAGGATACACATTAAGGAGTTCCTTCCACAAAAGAGTTATGGCTGCTCACTCATGCCAGGCTCCTGGTGAGGCCTCGGGGAGACCATGTGAGCACAGCAGGCCCGGTCCAGCGCAGGGGCCAGGTGAAACACGGGAGTATAACGACAAAGGTGACAGTGAGGGAGATGGGGGTGTTCAGAAGGGAGACTGAGACAGGGAGCCCTGTTCTGTCTGATCAGGAGGTTAGGGAGAGCTTCTTGGAAGAAGTGACATTGAAGGAGGCACTGGGTTTGATGAGTGTAGAGTATAGGAAACATTATTCTAGGTAGGGGACCCAGCATGTGCAAAAGCTCTGGAAAGAGCCAGAAAGACCCTGGCTGATATGTCTACACAAAAATGGAGCCAGTTTCCTTCTGAAATGGCCATGGCTCAGTTTACAGCCAGCAGCCCCCAAAAGGTGATTCTGGGGAAGCCACTTACCCCCAGCAGCTTGTTCCTGGGATTAGATGCATAGCCAGGAGACAACAGGATTCTACCACAGGCCCCCCACCCCCACCATATGTAGGAAGCTGACTCCAGAGCTGGGGTCCCCATCCCTGCTTTGCTGCCTCAGCCTCGGGACAGAGGGAGTATACCCCTAGAGGGCCCAGGAGACCCCCAACTACGGGAGGCAGAAATAAGGCAAGGCCCACTGAGGCACACTGAAATCACCTGCTAACTTGGAGGGGAGCAAATACCCTGCACCCTGGCCTCCAGGTCAACTTAATGAAAATTCCACAGGGTGGGGGCCCAAACCTCAGGATGTTTTTTTAAATCTTCCCATGGGGAGCTAAGAGCCACTGGGTTACCTCAAGTCTTTCAAACAGTTGCTCCAAACAAAGATGGATTTACTGACAGACCCCTGGCTTAATCTGCTAGTGAACAGTTAATGGTGTCCCACTGTATTAGGAAGCTTTTAATTTTTGGTCCTGGCCCCATGTGGCTAGATGTCCTTTCCCGTCTCTGATAAAGGTTAATAATTCTGAACACCACCACCAACAACAACAAAAAAAATCTATTTGTGAATGTCAAGAAGGCCCATTCTGGGAGACTTGAAACCCAAGAGCCAGCTCCATCCTGGTTTAATGACAACCTCTAAGAGGTTTGCCTCCCCCCACAGGACACTGATGGTCCAGTGCGGTCAGGAAGCCTGTCTCGGCCTCAAGTGGAAACTGGAAGGCCTCGCTGGCTGCATGCTGGGGACAAGCAGGCAGCTAAACACCTGCGACAAGGGACCCTGACATTCTAAAGAGAACGTGATCCTTAGAGTCAGCAGACTCTCCGACTCCCCCCGTTAAACTAGCTGTGTAACCTTGAGCAAGGTACTTAGCCCTTCCACTCCATTTCGTCCAAGAAATGGAGCTGTAACACCAGGTACGTATACTAGCCATACGTAGGATTAAGTGCAAGTGACCCGTGTGAATAAAAACTAAGCTGTGGGGGGTGGCGGTGGCACCTGGGTGTCTCAGTAGGTTAAGCATCTGACTCTTGATTTCGGCTCAGGTCACGATCTCAGGGTCGTGGGATCGAGCCCCATGTTGGGCTCTGTGCTGGGCTGGGAGTCTGCTTCTCTCTCTCTCTCCCCCTCTCCCCCTCCCCCTGCACTCGAGCACGCTCTCTCTCAGATAATTAAATGAATCTTAAAACAAAAACAAAACAAAACCTAAACCTGGACCGCAGGAAGTACTTCATCAATATTATTTCTTATTGTTCCCTCTCTTTTTCTTCCCACCTTTCCAGAACTCTCTCCTAACTATTTTTCATATGAAAGTCCTCTCCCACTTGGTCCTGTGCAGGTCATGCACACCTATTAAAAAGCTAGCTCCCTGGGTGGGTGAGAGCAGGGGTGCGGGGGGCAGGGGTGTGTGGCAGGGAGTGAGGAATTAGGGCTTAGCAGGGACAGCGTTTCAGTTTAGGATGGTGAAGTAGTCCTGGAGATGGACAGTGGGGACAGTTGCATAACAGTGCGAATGCACTTAACGCTACTGAACTCCATACTCAAAAATGGTTACAGTGGTAAATCTTGGCTTATATATATCTTACTGCAATAAAACAAAAACCCAGTCAGACGCCAGCCCCCTCCACCTGCGTAGCTCTCCTGTCCCCCTCCCGGAACATGAGGCCCCGGGTCTTACCCCACGGGGAAGGAGGCCGCGCCGTCCTGCTGGCCAGGGGCGTCCACATGGCAGACGGCAAAGTGCTGCGTGATCTCCTGCATGTCCTCGGAGTTGAAGAGGGGGTTGTAGCAGGTTTTGTCTGGAGAACAGGTCGGGGAGAGAAAAGAGGACAGAGGAAGGAGAGAACACATCTGGGTGCTCGGCGGCATGTGATGGCATTTTGTTGGTTTCACTCCCATGCAACGGAGGAACGAACATACAAGAAAGAATGCTGACCTTCTTGCCCCCTCCCACTTCCCTCTGGTGATAGAAGGCAAGCACCTGGGTATGGAGGTGGCAGGGGTTGGTATACAGCGGCGGCAGCTGAAGCTCAAATCTGGAGCTGGTGCTGGGAGGAGACTCCCATTCTGGCTCCTGCATCTTCCCCCATCAGCCGCGGCTGCGATGGCCCTGAGGTGAGGTGGGCTGGCTGCCCTCATGCCCTCTTTCTGTCTGGGTCTCCTAAACCCCCACATTGGAAGTAATGGCCAGGGCACATGCTTCTCAACCAAGGAGGGGCATAGGAGATCAAGCATGGACCCTCTCACTTCTTATGTGGCCTTGGATGAATCTCCCAATTTGCTGAGTGCTTGAGTCAAAGATGGCCAGCTGGCCACCAACCCACCCCCTTTTCTTCCTGGGCACACAGCGGGACTACATTTCCCAGACTCTTTTGCAACAAGAGGCAGCCATGTGACTGGGTTCTGGCCAAGAGCACGTGAAGCTCACGGTTTCTTGTTAACACCTGCCACCCACTCTTCTAGGTTTCTCTCTCTGCTGTCATCTGCCAGATGCATAAGGCTCTGAGGCCCCAGGGGATGGAGGAGCCAAAGCTGGCAGGAGCCCAGGTCCTGGAACCACCATGTGAAAGGTGTCCCATAGAATGCCCAGAGGTATTACAGGAGGGAGAGATAAACGTATATTGTGTATAGCCACAGAGGTCTTGGGGGCTTTTGTTTCTGCAGCTGGCTCACTAAACAGTGAGCTTCTACCACAAGGGTAGAACAGCACCACACGCAATTCCATTCCTCACCAGAGTCTGGTAACATAAGGTAACAGATACCCAAGTACCTAGCATGGGAGCTGGTACCTAATGGATACAAGGGCGGGACACAGAGGAGGAAGAGGGATAAAAGAGAAGGGAAGCTGAAGGAGAAAATGGTTTTCAGTGACTGACATCACTGCCTCAAGGTACTAAGAAGCTGTAGGAAAAACATGCAAGCCAGGCAGGCTGTCGATCACAAATCGAGCAATCGTCCAGCCTGCGATACTTAGGATTACAGAGGTGACTGGATGTGAAGGCCGGCAGTGCCTTCCCAATCGCCACGGAAAGATTCACTTCCATCCTGTGCAATTTTAACATTCAGTAGATCTTACTCCTTTACTGTCTGTGAAAAAAATGGGGAACCCACGTATGCTAACACTTCCTGGGAATCTCAAGAATACAGCGTAAACATTCACGGCAGCCTCATTCAGAACAGCCAAAAAAGCAAAAACCATCCAAGTGTTCATCAGCTGAAGAATGGAAAAACAAAATGTGGTCTCTGCACTCCGTGGATTATCATTCAGCAACAAGGAAGGAAGTATGTAATACAGGCGACCGCGCGGATGAACTGAAACCATTATGAAAGGAGCCAGTCACAAAACACCACATATGGTAGGATTTCATTTATAACGAATGCCCCGAATACACATGTCCTTAAGAGACAGAAAGTAGACCAGTGGCTGCCAGGGGCTGGGGGGAAAGGGAGCTGGGGGGGCGGGGGGGGGTTACAGATTTTTCAGGGTGATAAAAAATGGATGGTGCTGACGGTTGTGCAACTCGGTGAAAATAAGAACAACAACTATGCACACTGATCCAAAGAAGTCACTGTCACACGCAGACAGCAGAGGGCCCTGAGTTCCCAGCACACCCAGGCACAAAGACAACTATGTGCCATGCGTCGTACATTACAGGCTCTTCCAGTCTGTGGCAAGTTCTCGTCCCACAAGCGCTCCAGGAAGTGCCGGCCAAAGAGAAAACAGCTGGATGCCCCACCACCAGCCCTTCCTAGCTGTCCTCTTCCTCCACCCCCAGCGGGAACTGAGGCTCCTGGGAACTTACGGTTCATGCCGATGTCGTGGTACGTGAGGATGACAGGCCGGTTTCCCTTGGGGGTCCCGCACAGCGTGACGTGAATGGAGCCATGCACCGTCTCGATGTCCTGCTCCTGAGGGAAGACAAGAGACAGAGGGGTCTGTGCTGTGGGCTTCGCAGCGTTGGATTTGAACCCTGATGACCCCAGGCTGGCTGGCCTGGCCTATTTTTAGAGGGACTCTTTGACTGTAGGCACCCAGTTTCCAACTGTGTTCTGAGGAAGCTCCGTATGCTTCTCGTTTGGTCAGCAGAGCCCTGGCCTTCGGGCAGCGGATCTCTCCGGCCAGAGAAACCACTCCAAGAACCAGGGAGGGAAGGGAAACTCAACTGGGAGGCAGAGGCAAAGAGTCCTGGTTCAGACTGTGCCATTAACTGCCCAAAACCTGGGGAAGTCACCAGCCCTAGCCCCCCTCTGCACAGGAGCTTGTTTTCTCCATCTGGGAAACCAAGGTCATCAAGGCCTGAGCTTCCTAGACTGCCTGCTCCCACATCCACGCTGGCGTAGGGTGATAGTCTGGCTCAGGGAAACCAAGGCAGCTGCCCCGAATCACACTCAAGACCCACCCAGAGAGTCAGCCTTAGCGTTCCCCACAGGCTTCTTATGGCCTCACACTCTGAGAAGCTCGGACAGCCAAACCACCTTCACGCCTCAGGAGGCCACGTTAGGTTGGCCTTTGACATTTATTTCCCAAGGAGAGAACATTCCAGATGCCATCGAACCTCCTCCCAAAACCACTGGCGGTGGTTTGGATCACTGACGAATGGCGGGAGAGAGAAGGTCAGTGTCTGCCGCACATGGACAAGAAGAAGTGGGCTGGACGCCCCAGTTAGGAGCCTTGTGGAGCTGGGCAAGCTGCCCTTCGCCCAGCCTGTACCACGGGAACCTGGCAGCTCCAGGGATGCCAGGAGGCCCACAGGACACAGCGCAGCCCCTTGACCACAGACCTGGGAGAAACTTGGCACACAAAGAAAGAAATATGCCCCAATTCTCAGGCTCTCCCTCCAGAACAGGGAAGCATAGTATCTGCATGTGTAGAAAGAAGCCAATCCCCTCCCCATCCCAAGCAAGCGATGCAGGGGCTTCCAGCCCTGATGCTGGGTACCGGGGGCTGGGGGGCGTTTCCAGGCTGCCATCGTACCTGTGAAATGGGGAGAACCCTAGAACCTCATAGGGTGTGTGATGCGGATGGGCCCACACAGGCCCCGGCCTGGAGGCGACCCCCGCTCCCTGTCAGTCCCAGGCCTACCCCCATCACCAGGGTCCTCCTGAGCCACCTGCCTTATCACCCCAACGAAGGGAGTCCCCTGAACACAGAGCCCACCGTCTCTCTTCCCCTCGATACCCGACACTCCGCTCTTGCCTATACAAACACTGGAAAAATCCACAGACGATGGAGTAACAGCCTGGCCCCCAGTGGGGGCCACGGTCATCTGCTGGGCCTGGCCCTGGCCCTGAAGCCAACTGGGAACAATGGCTCATTGAGAGGGTCACATTCTCCATTGTCTCCCCAGCTGACCCACATGGCGCCCTCTAAAAATAGGCCAGGCCAGCCAGCCTGGGGTCATCAGGGTTCAAATCCAAGCTCTGCCCTTCCCCAACCCCTCTGAGCCCTGGGTCCCTATCTGGAAGACAGGAGTGAGCCACCTCCCCCCGGGATCCTCAGGAGAGGAGGTCACCTTGTGGTCTGAAACACAGTGCCAGGAGGAAAGGGGGTCCTTGGCACACGGTAGCAGAGGGTTTTAATGCAGTGCCTGGGAACCACCTTGGTGGCAGATACGGGACGCCCAGCCTTGGCTGGCACCAAAGATGTCCCCGGCAGCCCCTAGGGGTGGGGATGCGTGGCTGATGTTGACTCATCTCTGTGGAGGCCTTAAAATTATATAGCCCTGGAACCAGAATTAAACATGTCCGAGAAGGGAGGGGCAGACCTGCCCTGCTTACGGTTCTGTCCCCTGGCCTAGCACGCAGTCAGCGCTCACAGTAGGTGCTCTGGAACTGTTGCATAAAGACCTGAGACTAAATAATCCTTCTCTAGAAAGTCCACTAACTATTCTGCGTTCAGGCTCCCCTGTGCCCCTTAATTGGCTCTGAGCTTCTTGGTGAGCTCCCGCTCGCCAAACTCCAGGATTGGCACGAAATCTCCCAGGATGGGTGCAAAACCTCCCAGGACTGCACGGGCCCCACTGAGCGCTAAGGCTTCACCCTTGAGAGGAGCTGCGTAAGTGTGGTGGCCGTGGCCCGCCGCCTCACCACTAGCCCGGACCACAGCCCAGCCAGAATTATTCGCCGTGGTTCGCCTTGTTTGGAAGGATAAGGCATCCGGTCTCAGAAAGTGGAAGCAACACAGTGAAGGGGCTCAGGCACGGGTCTGGGAGAACTTAGGTGAGGGTAAGATTTGCTAAGCACCCATCAAGAGGCACAGGGCGCCCAACCGCCATGGCCACAGGCAAGCCTGTCCATCCCATTTCACAGATGAAGACATTGAGGAGGCTTCCCCAAGGTCACACAGCTTGTAGAAGAACCAGGATCAGAACCCAGGTCTTCTGGGGCCCCATGCTGGTGCTGGCCCCCAGCTGCCCACCTCTGATGTCTGTGCCCACCAGCCCGCACAGGTAGGAGGAGGAGAAAAGCCAAGTGTCATGTTCCTGGTGCGAGTCCCATTCCTTAAGACACAGATGCATGCATGTGTACACACACATGTACTGTACACACGCACGCGTGCATATGCATGCACACATGTACGCACACTCACGCACACTGTGCATGCATGCACACACACACATGCATATGCACGTGTGCACACATTTCCACACACATTTGTGTGCACATGCGCGCGCGCACACCCACACGCACGATTCTAAGCTAGCCCTCCCTGGTGCTCTCTCCCCACTGGCCAAAACCAAGACTGCACCTGAGACTGGATGGAGGAATTAAAACACAAACACATGCCTTTGTCCTCTTCAGACCCAAAGGAACATTCTGTCCTTCTCTTTCCATGGGGATGAATCACTATGCAGTATCCTCTAGGGAGGGACCGACCTCACATCCCCCACATTCTCCCAAAGAGAGGGCACCAAGTACCCCAGTGCACTTCGTGTCCCCTTGCCTGAAAGAGGGCATCCCCCGTCCTGGGGCTCATCAAGGGTCCTCTCTTTCGCTACGATGGTGGCTGGAAACACACACACACACACACACACACACACACACACGATTCCTCCACCACCCAGATCTCCAATCCCAGCCCTTCCCCAGTTCAGAGCCAGATCTCTGAAGTCCCTGCACACAGGGGTCTGATCCAGCCAGAGGCATGCAGCAGAGAAATACCCAGCTTTTCCTCTCCCCTCCTCTGGAAAAGCCTAGAACGCCACTCTCTGAAGGTGTAGAGGAGATGGCAATATGGTGGCAATCATCATCAAGTCAGCCCTCCTACTGGACTCCGGCCCTGACCCGAGCATTTACTTACAAGTGTTCTCTCATCGCATGCACACAACTCCACTGGGCAACAACTGTCCCCTTTTACAGAAGAGAGACAGGCCAAGAGAGGGCAAGTAATCTACCCGAGGTCGCACAGCTGGAACGGAACCCGAGGCAGTCCAAGTCCGAAGCCTTGGACTCTGTGTGCTTTCTTGACATCTGTTTTACTCTCTGTGCCAGACGGTACATGAAGAAAAGAAACCTTTACCCACACAGAATGTGCACAGTGACTCTCTGCGTCAGCCCCCCACTGCTGTGACTGTGGATGGCTTTCTGTCTCCCCAGCCTCTCCAGGGACCCACAATCCAGACACGTGCCAGAGTCCTCTGGATGTGGAACAGAGGAATGCACACTGTGGTATGGCTGACGGGTGCCTGACTGGGAAGGGCCTCGGCACCAACATCACGGTACTGGGCTGGCCCCTTCGCTGCACGCGCTTCTTTTATCTGTAGCACCCACCACGGGGCAAAGATCTGTTTGATCACCACCTCCCACCTGCCAGCCAATTCCCAGAGAGAAAGGCTGGCTCTGCCAGAGACAAGGTCTGGCCCCCAAAGGGCACCGAGATTCACAGATTCCACACCACCTGTAAGAATGGCACCTATCCTACTCCTACTGTCTACAGGGCTTGCAAGATGGCAGGTGGTGAAAACAGGAATACCACTAAGTATTCCTTAAAGATTTCACGTCGGCTGCCCATCCTGGCTTCGGAGCTTTATAAACTATGGCTGACTGCATGGGTTGGCCTCTCAAACATCTGTTATTCCCTCCTTTATGATCGAATTCCCAGCAATGTGCCTGATAAAATTCTCCCCCCTCCCCCATCTCCTTTATAGCCAAGGGGGATCCAGAGACTCATTTCTGGCTCATGACATGTCAGCAGAACTCACTGGGGTTTTGAGGAGAGTTTTTTTTTTTTTAAGGTTCAAACTTGGCCTTCTGGGTTTTTTTCCTTTCACCCTTCTGCCTGCTTCCTCCCTGGAATATGAATGAGATGCTTGGAGGTGCAGCAGCCATCTTAGGAGCATGAGGACAAAAACTACATGCTCGAGAAGACAGCAGGAAGCTGGAAAGAGTCTGGGACTGGGTGACATTCATAGGTCTTCCAATTCAGTAGAATAGCAAACATTTCTGTTGTCTGTTGAGGGATGTTAATCCTAATGATACATCCACCATGTGCCCTTGGCCAAGTTACCACACTAGTCTGGGAGTCCCTTCAGCTGTCAGCTGAGGGCAGTAAGAAGTCCATCTGCTCATGGGGCTGCTCCCAAGACTAAAACTGCCGTATGCACTGGTAAGTGTTCCGCAAATGGCAGCATTTGGCTCCATGCTGGTTGTTATGGATGCTTATCCCAGAGATAATCAGTGTGAAGCCACAAGAGGGTCCCAATGGCTTAAGTCAACTGGTTGAGTGATCCAGGGGAGCTCTGAGACCAGCTGCTGCCACCTCCCTCCATAATCCCCTCCTTCCCAGCAGGCCCCGTGGAGACACGGAATGATCTGGCCTCTTAAGGGATGACACACTTAGGCAGACGCTAAGTCAGCTGGTGCACTGGGCTGCCCCTCCCAGCAGCCTAGCAAGCCTTGGTCAAGGCACG